GGACATTAGTGGTTTTATCAAAATATTATCTTATTTCAATGGTCCAACAATTCAGTGTCTGACAAAGCTAGCTAGCTTTATGGCAATTGTACGTACATCGACTTGAAGTTAACTCACTGGATATCAAGGAGACTCTGAACTAGAAAAAGTTTATGTTGTTTGTAAGTTAGTGAAATCTTTGTTTATAAAACTTTGTTTGTGGTAACTATTCATAATAATTGTTGTTCTAAATTGTACTGTTATATATATATTAAAACGTATTTGTGTGAAAAACGAAGATGGTGTGTGTGAATCTTGTTGGCAAATAGCGTAAATTAACTGCAATATCGGCTTCAAACAATTTCAAATTCTCAATACGTATCACATCAAATATTGAGAAATAGAATATCGTGAATACACATTTAATGTTGTGTATCACTATGCATAGTGAAATAACTATATTTTCTGACTTTTCAATTCAGTGACATACAAAAGCTCTAGTTAATGTATGGTGAACATTAGATTTATGGAAAAAGTATATATGATTATGTAGAGCTTGATCCGTTTATTTTCAGTACTAAGTATAATGTAAATACATAGATAGCGACAAACAATGTATTATAATTCACTCTTTCAACTTTTATTTTAATAAAAGTTTTTTTTCTTCCATATTGATAGCTCTCTTGTTTAGATAAAACCATGAGTCAGATAAAGTGTTCTACTTTCAAACAAAAGCATTATCTGTTTTAGCTAACACTTAAGGTCAAAAGATTTTCTAAACTTGACGACTTGCCCTGTCAGAGGTTTTGAATATCAAACACGTTGGTCATCAGACTAAATATTGTTGCGTATCTGCTTGTTTGTTAATTTCTTTCCAAGAAACTTCAGCAATACAAGTCCTTTCTTGGTTAAACCAGTTTATTCTCCCTCGATACAAACTTTAAGCACGCAGTAATTTCACTATTAATACGTTTCTCGTCACTTTAAACTTAACTACTTTTATAATACACGCTATAAATAAGAGCGATTCACAATCACGAAAACAGAATCGTAAAATACCCGGAACTCTCTTCATTCAATCCCGCAGGCTTTCTCTGCCAGGCTTATATATTAAAAAAGAGGGCGTCTCTAACAAACTTGGTCTTCCCCGATAATTCATTATCATTCAAGAAATTCATCACGTGTTACCAGAGTCACGTGACTTCCGCTGTCGTAACAATATCAGCAATGTTAATAACCAAACTGAACTTTGAATTCTGTCAACACCCTCTCTTCTTAGTAAAAGGTCGACATACAATTAACTGTGAGCCAACAAGGGTGAAGTGTCATTTGGTGATCGTTTGCTTTCAGTGTTAATGACGTCAGTTAGAAAGAACACACATACATTGAACTTTGTATTTTCTACTTTGAACAAGTATGTGATGTCAGTTACATCTCTACTGTTGAAAAAAGTTCTGTCCTCACAAATTTATAAAAAAGTGGTAAGTGTTGCTAATCTGTAATAGAGATTACATTTATTATGTAGCAAAATGACTTACTACAGAGTTTATTAACTAGATGTTAAAATTAATGATAGTAAATCATGCGTTAGATGTGTATAGTACATTTGTATTCTACAAAAGCAGCCTTTGCAGGATATAAAATGTAAATAGTTATAGAAAGAAAACTATAAGCTATATGTTAGATTGTTTAATATTTATAAAAACATTAGGTGTAACAAAAAACTTTTCAGCAGTACGTTAAATGTGAGAATAACATTAATCAGCTCCAGAAACAGCAAAAAAACGTATGCCAGGTAAGTTAAATGCACTGATTTTTAGGTTTTACCATGACGCTGTTTCAAAATATATTTTACTTTTAAAAATATAACACGAGAGAAATTCAAATAAAAAGTAGATTGTTTGTTATAGACTAGACTGTTTCCATTCATTATATAATGAAATCTCATACATGTTGAAAAATTATTCTAAGCTAATCGTTGAAAAGTTCGTGTGTGTGCACGTGCGTTGAGAGGAGGCTAGTCACGTGACAAACTTTGTATTTCCTAAGACAGTGGTTAGACAGTCTCAAAGTTTTACGTATATAACTTCAACTAAACGATGCTACTTTAAATAATAGTAATGTTAAACAGTAAGTCGTTCGTTTATTATATTTAATTGTAAAAAATAGGCATCCCTTTCAAGACTTTAAAAGTAAATTATTGGTTATAGTAACTGCCTCATTCAAATAATGGATATTATGTATGTTATAATAGTTGACTCCTTGACTTGTGAAAGCAAAACTTCAGGTGTCCTATGGAACATTGTCTGAAAGAAGTTATGAACACTTTACAAATTTATTCGATACTTTCACAAGATTTGTGTATGTGAAAGAAGTTTGTAGGTGTGTTTGCCAGTGATCAACTACCTGATCATGCAGAAAAACAATTGTACACCGTCAATCTGAACCTAAGTCATAAATCTGGTAGCCACTGGGTCTGTATGGAAGCAGTCCTAATGGACCAAAATATTCTCCTTTCTCATCTCGACCAATGTAAACAATTACGTCATCAATGTCCTAAGTAAAAGTATTATTTAATGATAAAACTATTATAACAGTGTTACACATGTCAGTTTTATCACACATTCATTTGAACAAAATAAATAACTTACAATTATCTGTCATGAAAGAATTTTATCATACCTAATGTTTTTATAAATATTGAATGATTTAAAATACAGACTATAGTTTTCATTCTATAACTTTTTACATTTATATCCTGAAAAGGACGTTTTTTAACATACAAACTTACTATACACATATAATGTATGTTTCAGTATCTTTAATTTTCGCATCTAGTTAATAAACTCTGTAGTAAATCATTCTGATACATAATAAATGTGTTTAATTATTATTATAGAATAACAACATTTACCATTTTTTCATAAATCTTTGAGGACAGATATAACTGAACTTACTTAGACACATGATAATAGTTATAATATATACAATATTGTCCACATACTCAGACGAATACAGTCGTAGTAGTAAATTTTTGTTGTATGTTTACATTCAACAGTTCTTCTTGATGATTTTCTTATGTTGAAGTCATATATGTGGAAACACATTGAAAAATAACTTTCCTTAGTAATACAATGTATATGTAGAACAACATCCACCTTTGTAAAACATAAGTAAATGGAAAGTATAATGTAATGAGTGTAAAATAATTGTCGTAAGTTTGTATGTTAAATAATCGCCCTTTTCAGGACCATTAATGATTTACACATAAAAGTCAGGAAATGTCAAAAAGTATGACTAAATTTAGAACCAACGAATTAGTGTTTTATAGATAAATCGATTGTATTAAATCTAGCCTTTGATTACATATTGAGATATGATCTCATCATGATTGTGTTTCCACATTGTAGAACTCAGACGTCATCTTCGTTTGTCATGGCAGCCTAGCAGTGCGTCCCCAACAATGTGCCCTCTGGTTCCACTTCATGGAACTATGACGTCATCCTCGCTGATAACAACATTTGTGTGGAACCAGCGCCCTCTGGTGATATTTTTGGAAATATGACATCATCGTCTCTACCCCTATCCTCCTCCTCCCCATTGTCTGAGGCCGACAATGCATTTTTATTCTTATTTTTTCAAGTTTATTTTTTCGTGTACTAATTTTTTCATTTTCTTTTCTACAAAATTAAATTGAATTATTTATCTAAGGTTTAGTTTTGATGTGTAGAATTCAAGGTTGGTTGTAATAATGATGTATGACTTTTCTGTTGCTTACAGACTGTACATGTGAAGACTTATTATGACTGTTATTCTTCAAGAAGGTTGGTTGTTATGATAATAATGTTGGACAGACTGTTTCTTCAGCCATTGTGTAAAGGTCGTTCTTATCATAAAGGAATTAGGTGAAGTGAATGCAGTATTCATATTTTGATTTGGCTTCGTGTTCACTTAGCTCGTTAGTATTTTTATATTTATCACGTTTAATGTTATCAAAATATGGCCAACTTTGTCCAATATCTACTTGACCCTTTATTCTCTTTTTCTACTTGAGAGGTTCACCTATTTAGCACATGTTGTGTTGGCAATGTATTTTTAAAACTATTGGTGAGTGTTATATACACAAAACTAACAGTTTGCCTAAATATTTACCATTTCTACCCCCCCCCCCCCATCCGACCAACATACCATACTTTTTGTCTACCATGTTCTACTATTACACTTTTTAAATACCTATCAAACAAAAACAGTCAGATACATTTGTTAATCACTTACCACAAGCAAAATTGTCAGAGTATACCTGTCCAGCCCCGGCCATTTTGTGACCTCTTTTCTCGACCTACAACAAAGAAATACACACAGAATTGTAAAATGAGATAAACTAACAAGCATTCTAGGAAGAATATAACACTACTTGCTGTCGATACTTAACGACATAAAACTTGAACTTTGCAAGAAAACTAACCAAGGACATCTGTTTCCGTAACTAAGTAACAATAAGCTACCTGTACAACAATGTATCTAAATAAAGGCACTACTGGTTATACTAACACAACATTGGTACTGTAGCTGTACAATAATCTAGCTATATACTTAGATGATTTATTTTTGTAGATACAACTTCATCATTTCTGTATGTAGCTAGATTATTGTACAGTTACAGTAATAATGTTAGTATAACCAGTAGTGTCTTTATGTTTGTAGATACAAATTGATCATCTCTGCTAGATTATTGTACATCTACAGTAATAGTGTTAGTATAACCAGTAGTGTTACAAACTTAGATGATCAAATTGTATCTACAAACATAAAGACTCTACTGGTTATACTAACACTATTACTGTAGGTGTACAATAATCTAGCTACATACAGAGATGATCAATTTGTATCTACAAACATAAAGACACTACTGGTTATACTAACATTATTACTGTAACTGTACAATAATCTAGCTATATACTGAGATGATCAAGTTGTATCTACAAACATAAAGACACTACTGGTTATACTAACACTAGAACTGTAGCTGTACAATAATCTAGCTATATACTGAGATGGTCAAGTTGTATCTACAAACATAAAGACACTACTGGTTATACTAACACTATTACTGTAACTGTACAATAATCTAGCTATATACAGAAATGATGAAGTTGTATCTACAAAAATAAATACACTACTGGTTATACTAACACTATTACTGTAGCTGTACAATAATCTAGCTATATACTGAGATGATCAAGTTGTATCTACAAACATAAAGGCACTACTGGTTATACTAACACAACATTGGTACTGTAGCTGTACAATAATCTAGCTACAAACTTAGATGATCAAATTGTATCTACAAACATAAAGACACTACTGGTTATACTAACACTATTACTGTAGATGTACAATAATATAACTACATACTGAGATGATCAAGTTGTATCTACAAACATAAAGACACTACTGGTTATACTAACACTATTACTGTAGATGTACAATAATCTAGCTACATACAGAGATGATCAAGTTGTATCTACAAACATAAAGACACTACTGGGTATTCTAATACTGGCACTGTAGCTGCCTCCCGATATGGCTCATTACCATCCCCACCTTTGAGTCATCTGAGGAGGATGGATACTCCCAACTGGAAGTACCATCTTCTCTTTGCAGAACATTTTTCAAACCATTCTTCTGTTTACGTTTTTTTGGATGGTTCGAAATCAAGTGACTCTTTTGGATCTGCCATAGTTTGTTGTGGCTCGGTGGTTGTTCAACAGTTTCTATGTTCACTGCCAAGTTGTATGCCATTTCTCTTGCCCTGGATCACATAGAAGCTAAGCAGTACACTATCTCTACTATATATACTGACTCTCTCAACTCTCTTCTGACCTTGGAAAACGTGAGTTTTCACCCTGTTTTTCTAGACATTAAGAAACGAATGGTCCACTTTTCTCTGTCTTCTGTTTCTATCCAGTTTTTATTTTTTTGATACCTTGGCCATGTTGGTATTCGCGGGAATGAACTTGTTGACACCATAGCTAAGTCTGTCTGCATTTGAGTTGTCACAGCCATGCCTGTCCTGTGATCAAGGCTCGTATTCGCGCCAGTTGTCAGTCGATTTGGGGTGAGTAACTTCATAACAAGCTTTTCCAAGTCAAACTTATTGTTGTTGTTTGGCCGTCTAGTTTATATAAGGATCAGAGGGAGGAAATTGTCTTGTTTAAGCTACGCATTGGTCACAGTTTTTAACCCATCCTTTTCTTTTATGTCGGACTGATTTGCCAACGTGTGGCCTTTGTGACACTCAGGTCACAACTGTCCACATTTTACTTTCGTGCCGTCATTACGGCAGCGGCACCATTCCAAGGGTTTACCCCGATCTTGGACGGTGTCATTGGTGATGGTAACATTGTCCAATTTCATTGTGTTTTTAGCTTTTTATGTGTCATTAGTCTTTTTCATTCTACTTAGTTTTTACCTGATTTTTGGAAATTGTTTAACGTTTAACTTGTTTTCTGTTTTTTAATGGTATTTTACTCTTTTTTTTGCATTTTTAACGGTTGATTAGCGTCATAAAGCACCAAACAACCAACCAACTGTAACTGCCTAATAATCCAGCCAGAATATTATGTTGTAAAATTACGAAGTAATATTTGATCAAAGTATACAGTTTACAATTTTATAGATTCTGCGGCAACTCGAGAATTTCTAACTTGAAACTCTAAGTTGATTTAAATCATGGATTTGATGTGAATTCATTAACATTTTTTGTTTTGTTTTAGACATAATTAGATAGAGATAATTATCGGTAATTAGAGAGATATGGAAATAAGTCAGAAGTAATAAATTATGTCATTTCCTGCTGCTACAGTGAAGAGAGAAATGCATTTTCCCACTTATGTACATGAAGAACAACAGTACAAAGTTTCTAGTTGTCTTCTGTTGCTACAGAGGAGAGAGAAGTACAATATCTCTAGTTGTCTTCTGTTGCTACAGTGGAGAGAGAAGTACAATATCTCTAGTTGTCTTCTGTTGCTACAGTGGAGAGAGAAATGCAGTTTCCCACTTATGTACATGAAGAACAACAGTACAACGTTTCTAGTTGTCTTCTGTTGCTACAGTGGAGAGAGAAGTACAATATCTCTAGTTGTCTTCTGTTGTTGTACTTCTCCCTCCACTGTAGCGTCTCTGGTTGTCTTCTGTTGCTACAGTAGAGAGGAATGGTGTTTTATTTTTGTGAGTCTTCTTTCTTGTATGAGTAAATAAATGTATCAAGATTCACAAGAACATTCATTGTAGCGCTCTTATGCCCGTGGAGTAATCAATTACTCGAGTAAAATAAATCTGCTCTTTTTATGGTTGTTTTATAACAAAACCACAGCGGGCTATTTGCTGTGCTCACCGCGGGAATTCGAACCCGAAAAGGTGGTAGTCTGTAAACTTACAGCTGTCACACCCGAGGACTCTACAAACTTACTTCGCCACGCGGTAATGATAAGTTAGAGGAATAAAGAATTCCAGTAAAATCTAGCTGACCTAAATCCACTGTTTTTTTCATGATAATATTTTATATATGTACATAGGTAACCCGTAAAACAACTGTGTCCTCGAAACTGAGACACTTTAAAATAAACCGATTGTGTTTATTTGACGATAAGAACGCTTATTTCTTGTTAGAAAGGACATTTTTATAGGTTACTGCAGCACTTGAAAGGCTTTGTGACTTCTGAAAGTTTCACGTGAAGAAGAAAAACTAAAAAGAAACACAAATCAAGGAACGCAGCGGGGCGCGTTTCGAACCGACAGCTGCTTTCTACGAAGAATTGATCCTGCAGTAGATGGTGGTGTTCACGTGCCGTCTCAGGCGTTTCCTTGACAACGAGTAACCCAGAAGAGGATTCCTCACCTTTCGAAGACGTAAAGAATGTGGTTACAATAGATGGAATGTATCCCTAAATTATAGGCATTTTGTAACCACTGTAGGGACGTTGATGTAAGAGTGGCATGGATAATTCTAGCTTGATACAAGTTGTTCGTGAAACACCTTCTTAGGAAAACATCACTTCAAATGTTAGGAGAAAGCACGTGTGTTATTTAAAAAGGATCAAAATGCTTCAATTTCCCGCCAGATCAAACAGCGACAAATTCATATATATAGCTTAAACGAAATTATTTACTTGATATATAAATTAGAAATAGTAAAAAGGTACTTTGATTTCGTATTGGCTGATGTTGTTACTTAGGTACAGTTAAGAAAGTATTTGTGATCTATCTAGGTAATGTTAACACGTACATTAATTATGATCTCAGCTACTCCGGTTTATAGAGTAAACAGTCAAATTTGATCGTATTATGGTTGACGTACTAAAGTTTTAGGAGTTTTACATATTGATGATGGCTGATGTTGTTACTTAGGTACAGTTAAGAAAGTATTTGTGATCTATCTAGGTAACGTTAACACGTACATTAATTATGATCTCAGCTACTCCGGTTTATAGAGTAAACAGTCAAATTTGATCGTATTATGGTTGACGACTAAAGTTTTAGGAGTTTTACATATTGATGATAAACTGTTTCATGTTGTACTCAACAGTCTGCTAAGCAGTCACTGTTGAGAAACAACTGTTCCATTCTCACGTGAAAGCACTGCATTGTCCAATTACAGAGTGTGTGGGTGTGTGTGGACAGATTAACTACAGAGTAATATCAACTGATACAGTAACTTTCGAAAGGTGTTCAAAATGTTTTCTTGTAAAAGCTGATTTCTGTGCTAATGTGTTGAATTTGATGTCTGTAGCTAGATGAGTGACGAGAGTCGCTCTGATAATTTTAAGACAAAAAAGAAAAAAATGATCATCTGATTTATTTTTAACGCTTGTACTTTTGTTCCAAGACTTCTTCTACGAGCGATTTATCAAGCCATGAATATGATTGAAATAAAAAATCTCAACACAAGCAAGTTGGGCAATAATATTTCAACCATCAAAAATCCATCGTTTTTGGTTTGTTATTATTAAAAGATCTTCACGACCTACCCCAAAAGACCCTGAAGATTTCGTTCCATCAGTAGTTGTCTGCCAAGTACGTAGAAAAGTAGGATAAAATAAAATTACTAGAGGTGCATCTTTACGTAAAACTTAATCTTGTGAATAGCCTAGTACTTGGAGCCAGAAACTGTGGTACATTTATCATACATCACTAGTAAAGATGTCAACGCTTTAGGATTTGTCCCACATATATTCTATGGTGAATTTTGATTGAAAATTTTCGTTACATCTTTTAGTGGTGCCTAGAGTATTTTAAACTAAAATGTTTCGTTAGATCCTTTGTAGAGGTGGCTGGAAT